GAAGCCTTTACCAGGAGCTGTGCTGGGTGAGGTTTCTGGGAGCCACTGGTGTAGAGGACAGATAGGGAAAGAAGGACACAAATGTCCTTTCAAATGTCCTTTCTTTTATGTAGTTAAATTCAGACAATTGTGGATTGCAAAATAAAAATTAAGTCTAAAAATATTATTTGTTGAATCAAATGATAGAATCATAGAACTGCAGAGGTGGATCCCAAGGGTCATTGAGTCCAGTCCCTCCCAGAGCAGGAAATCTACACCTAAATCATCCCTGACAGGTGGCCTTCCAATCTCTACTTAAGTATCTCCAGCGAATGACAGTCCACTGCATCCTCCCCAAGGCTGTCAATTCCACTGTTGAATGACTCTTGCTGTTAGGAAGGTCTTCCTAAGGGTTAGTCAAAATGGCCTGCCTTGTCATTCAAAACCATTACTTCAGGCCTGGTCCTCTTGGTCCTCCAAAAAACAATCCTGGTCCATTTTCCATGACTTTCCTTCAAAGTGGCCATCATATTGCCTCTCATCTTTCTCATCTCCAAGCCAAACATGCTATGATCTCTCAGCCTTTCCTCATAAGGCTTTGCAAACCATATACCATTCTGGTTGCCCTTCTCTGGCCATATTCCAGCTTCTTGGCATCCTTAAACTACAGTGTCCAATACTGGACAAAGCACTCTAGGTGGTGTCTGACCAAAGCAAAATAGAGTGATAGTGTTACTGAATAAAATGTTCATTTGGTAAATGGGTTGGTGAGTGAAATCAAAAGGCCAAGGATTGCACATGAATCTCTCTCTGTCTCTCTCTCTCTCTCTCCTAAACAGAGAGATACAGATCAGAATGATTGTTTTGCAGTGGAATGCTACAAAAAATGTCCCATTGCGATCAGAATGATTGTTTTGCAGTGGAATGCTGTAAAAAGAAAGTCCCCATTGCTCAGTTCTTCCCATCCTCTAATCTGTCAGAAACCAATTTCATCATTCCCACAACAAATGCCTACTGTGGCAATTGGGAAGCAGCCTGAAATGGCCTATGGTGCTGAAAAGAATGTTTGAGTTACACCTCTGCTATGCCCATCCCAATATGTGTGACACATCATCCCTGATAAAAATATGTGAGTCCAGAAGGGAACCAGAGAGTTTCTTTGATAACTTATTACAAGGAAATAACATCATCTGTATTTAAATGCCAGACATCAATTTATCTGAAGTTGAAAGAGCACTTGGTCATAAACTATCTGTACTTTGCACATTATTGTCGGCTGGATTATTCAGAGATAGAGTGGGTCTGATTGCTTGCTTCTGTTTTTTAACCGTTAATTTCCCACAAGATTCTCCCTGCTTGTAATGCAGGTCTATGTAGTTTTGCTTTTTTTGTTATTTGGCAGGCATATATGGAATTTCCTTACCTTTGATGTTAGCCTTTCTCAGTTCATATGATGTTATTATTTATTTAAAATATTTTTACACACAAAAACAAAAGCAACACCAAAACATATTCAAAGCAGTAAGATGCAACAATCCACTAAAAAACCCCACTCAGGCAGCCAGTCATTAAGGGAAGGCTTGCCTGAAGAGAAAGGTCTTTGCCTGCTTGTGAAAGGACAGCAAAGATGGGGTCAGACTGGCCTCCTGTGAGAGGAAATTCCAAAGTCTGGGAGAAACAACAGAAAACACCCTTTTCTGAGTTGCCACCAAACACACCTGTGAAGGTGATGAGACTGACAGAAAGGCCCTCCTAATTTTCTTAACGCCCAGGCAGGTTTATAAAGGTTGGTGGTCCTTGACATGGTCCTTGACATAGCTTGGACCCAAGACCTGTTTAAAGCTTTATAGGTTATTACTTGGACTTTTATTTGTGCCTGGAAACAGTTTGGCAGCCAGTGGAACTGCTGTAATGGGGGAGGGGGTTATGCGATCCCTGTGACTAGCTCCAGTTAGCAATCCGGCAGCCACATTTTGGATCCAGTGAAGTTTCTAAACACTTTCCAGAGGCAGCTCCACATAGAGCATGTTACAATAATTCAGCCAGGATGTAACAAAGACAAGTGCCACCGTGGCCAGATCAGACCTCACCAGGAACGGACACAGCTGGTGCATGTTTTAATTGTGCAAATGCATTCTTGACCACTACCAAAACCTGAGCATCCAGGCTCAGAGACAAATCCAGAAGCACCTTCAACCTGTGCACCTGTGTTTTTAGAGGGAGTGTAATTTCATCCAGCAAAAGCTGCATTCCTATTCTTTGCTCTGCCTTTTGATTGACCGAGAATACCTCTATCTTGTCTGGATTAAGTTTCAGTTTACTCACCCTCATTCAGTCCATTACTGACACCAGACAGCAATCTAGAGCTGAAGCAGCCTCTTGGGATTTGGCTGGAAGCTTATATAAGATGGGGAGGTATACTGGGAGATTGGGTTGACGTCTAGGAACAAAAGGCATGCTTAACTCTAACCTGAACATCTGGATCAGGTTATATCCTTCTTCTGTATGACTTCAAAACAATAATTTATTCAACAATCATCACTTCTTCCAGAATACTCAGGGTACCATGTAGGTAGTAATTTCATATCATTATTGTTTAAGTTGAGAGAGAATGATTAGCCCAAGGGAAGCCAGCAAGCTTCATAGCGTTGGACAGCTTTGCATTTCTGGTAAAATCCCTTGTGTCACACAGTAGAATTAGAGAAATACACAGGGGAGAATAGCTTCAAGTTCTCCACATACTTCACCTCTTTCTCATTAACTGGCATTTAAAGTCTCCATAACTCACAGATATTTGTATGAAAAAGAATAGAAAAATTTAATTATTTAGACTTGTGAACAGATCAACAGCAAATAACAAACTGCTCGGAACAAAGTAAAGAAAGGGGAAAGGAACACAGAAAAGAGAGGTGGGGATTTCTTTGATTTTTCTCCCACTAGCACCACTTCCTGTACATGTCACTGCCAGGCAGCCTCCCATCCAGCCACTGATCAGTTTTAGCACTTTTGGTTCTTGTGGGTTTTTTGGGCTCTTTGGCCGTGTTCTGAAGGTTGTTCTTCCTGACGTTTCGCCAGTCTCTGTGGCCGGCATCTTCAGAGGACTGGAGTAGGAACTCTGTCCATGCTCTGGTGAGACTGGCGAAACGTTAGGAAGAACAACCTTCAGAACATGCCAAAGAGCCCGAAAAACCCACAACAACCACCAGATCCCAAAGCCTTCGAGAATAAATTTAGCATTTTTGTTGTTCACACACCATGCCCTGTAACCTATGGAAAGTATCAGCCATGGAAAAATGAATGGACAGAATTGTTCCAGTGACACCCATGGCATTTTAGTAGTGGCCTGGTATTTATATTTATTTTTTTAAATTTTTGTTTCATTATAGACATTTTTTCTTTATTTTCTATCATGCAGATTTATTGTCATTCTGAAAGGCAAAGTCAGATACCATATATAAAGTGGGTGAGGTTTGGGAGAAGCAACATTTTCTCAGAATACTCCTTCAGCATGACTGCACCAAAGGATTGGCCTTGACCATATTAAATATATAGTTTTTAATCCAACAGAAAACTTATACTTATGTTTTGACAAGTATAAATTAGTTCCGTTAAGACAACATTAATGTCCCAGTGTCCATGATATATCTGAAATATATGAAAGCAACTTCTTAGCTTTCCCATCTCCTCTCTAATGGCCTTCCACATTTCACTCATTTATTGATGTTTCTTTCTTAAAGTGGTTTGATTAATTCTGCTACTGTAGTTTGTTTTTGCTTATATCTTTTTTTCCTCTGCTTGTCCAGTGCTTTCCAAATGTTTATTGTATGTATTGTTATTATCATCAATGCAATGGGAGCTGAAATTATTTTAAATAAATAACTAATAAGACTTGGAATATCTAGAGAAATGCATAGCTCCAACCCAAGTTTTAACACTAATCCAGCACATACAGGTGCCAATAGTCATTAATTATTTGAAAAGGAGGCACACCTCTGTGTTAATACCTCTGGAAGACACAAGGATGTAAATTTAGGATGGATGTTAAGGTATGAGAAGGGCACATCAATGTGCCCTTTTTTTCAAAAGGACAACAGGGTTGATCTATGTTTTGAATTTCCTCACTTTGGGGAATAACGCTCCTAAGGCTGATTTATGCTTGTGTAAGGGACATCACACTACTGTAAGTCTTCATAGCAAATTGCTACTCATTAATAAGGTCCTGATTGCACTAGTTGGTGATTATGCATTTGGATTGGTGTCCAGGATCTTCATAGCAAATTGCTACTCATTAATAAGATCCTGATTGCACTAATTGGTGATCATGCATTTGGATTGGTGTCCAGGATCCCACCCAGCATCTCAATGATAAATTGCAATGTGCTGCCAAGAGGTATGGGATTTTGCTTACAAAAAGGTAAATCAGCCATAGGACTCCACCTTTTGTTGTTTTTACTGAAAAGGATGAACAGGCAACACCTCTAGCTTATGTTGTATAACTACCATCATCACCACTGCCCAAGGAGAAAAAGCCAACCAAAATCTTTCACATGTTTGAAAATGACAGATATTCTATCCATCCAAAGGCAGAGCCTATCAATCGTAGTCAGTTTCAGCATAGATAACAAATATAATAAACTATTGTGACCCCCTTAAGTCTACAGTAAGAGATGCGAAGTAGGAAGTAAGAATGGATGTGGAAACACACTAATACTAAACCAAAAATAGCTACATTCCATAAACTATGGCTTAGCCTAAAACTCTTTTTGCAATATATGCATATGTTGAATATCGCTCTGCATCCTCAGGGACGAGATGCAAACGCGACCAGTGCGGAAACCGACCGCCGAGGCTTGCCTGTGAGTCGTGAGCAAGGCATCCGACGGGGCTCGCTTCCGAGTAAACAGGTCGGCCGGGAGACTACCTGCTCGGGTCGCCTCCCTTTCCGCCTACCCGCTGCCCAGCAACTGGACTTCCCTGTTCCTAAGCGCACTGACGAGCCCGGCCCTTAACCCCAGCGGCCCTTCACACGCCAGGGATGGGCAAAGGGCGTGTCCTTCCCGCCAGGTAATGACGCGAGGGCGGGAGGAGGGCGCACTCATTAGAAGCAGAAAGACGACTGCACTTCCTCCCGCCATCCTGGGACGGCCCGCTTCGCCTTGTGGCGGGACAAGGGGTGTTTTCCTGGGTCTCCTCGGGGCCAGCTGTGGCCATGAGGCTTCTTCCTTGCTCCTGCGAGGGGCTTCTGACGTGGGCGCTGGTACTGCTCGTCTTGTCCGAGAGTCATGGTGAGCGAGGACGGGGATGGGGGCTTGCTGGTGGCGGCGGGGTATTTATTTCGATTTTTGAAATTAAGTGCCGGCTCACTTCCCTGCCGGGATGACAGAAGCACACGCAATAATTTTTCCTGGCGGCGGGGGGGGCATTTATTTCGATTTTTGAAATGCAAGTGCCGGCTGACTTTCCTCCCCGGATGGTAGAAGCGCACGCAATAACTTCTCCAGGGGTGTGTGGGTGTGTGTAGGCGCGCTTGCTCGCTCGCTCGTAAGGGCAGAAGCTGCACAGCGGTGAGCAGAGCGCACAACTTGTGCGCACAAGACGCACATTACAACACAGTGCGTCGGGGACAGAAAGAAAGAAAGAAACATTGTGATACCTTAAAACTGCTATATTATAATGTGAGTTTTTCGTGAACAAATCCACTTCTTCAGATCCCTGGTCTAAAGAGTGGACTTGTCCACCAAAGCTGATATTATAATATAGCAATTAGTCTTTAAGGTGCCACAACCTTTTTGTCTTCTTTATTATATTATTTTTGTTTCGTTTTTGCCTAGAATGTTTGCACAGACTAACAAGGCTACCTCTTCTAAAACTACTTCTAAAACATAGTGCATCTTACTGTTATGTTCTGCCAAGTTGCTTCTCACTTATTGGGACCCTAAAATGTGGTTCTGGTCTCCAAAAGGCCCCATCATTCACTGCCCTGTGCAAATTCAAGGTTGTGGTTTCCCTCAATATCAGACCATTTTGTGTTTTCAAATTGTCCTATAGCCTTCAACATTTCCCAGGCTTATTGCATTTCCAGTAACTCTTCCGTTTTTAAGATGTGCTCAAAATATGCCTCAATTTAGTCATTTTTCTTTCTAGAGAAAGTTCACACTTGCTTTGAGCTGCTACCATTTTGTTGTCTTTCTCGATGTTGATGGTATCTATAAAACTCTCCTACACTACTTTTTGAATCAAACTTTTTTTCCTTCCTATCAGCTCTCTTCACGCTTTCATCTGCATACATACCAATTGGTAATCCCATAGTATGGACAATATTGGCTTTGGTCTGCAGGAAGACATCCTCAGACTTTGGAGTGTTTTGTAGTTCCTTCACAGCTGCCCTTCCAAGTCTCATGCTTCAGATTTCTTGACTGAAGTCTCCATTAGGATTGATGACTGAGCCAATGTACAGAAAATATTTCAGTTTCTTCATTGCCCCCTTTAAAGTTACATTAAACCAGGACTCTGGGGAATAGGATTTGGCCATAGAAACTCACTGAGAGAATCGAAACCATTCTTTTAAAATTCCTCACTTATCTTGAAATCCTTATTAGGGTTGCTATAAGTCTGTTTCGGCTTGATAGCACAGAATGCACACTCTTTTTTTTTAAACCTTCCAAATGTTCCACTGTAATCCTGCTGTTGTACTTTGTTCCTTCACCCATAGTCATTTAAAGTCATTAATGCTTTCTGCCAGTAACACAGTGTCATTTGTTTATCTTAGATTATTGGCCAGAATCCTTTGGGTGTTCATGTAAAGTTTGTATCACTTGCTGCAGCTAATTGCAGCTACTTGAAGAAGTGCTGGCTGTGTCCTGGTTGCAAGCAGATGAAGACCTTTCTCTTCAGGCAGGCTTTACCTTAGTGATTGGCTATCTGAGAGGGGTTTTAAATGGATTGTTGCCTTGCTTTGAATCTGGTTTTGGTGCTTTATTTACTATTTCTCAGAAATAGAATTTGTTTGATCCTTTTTAGTATTTGTACATGTACTGTTTTTAGTTTTCAAATGTTTTCTTTTAATAATGTAAGCTGCCTTAGGTCTTTTTAAAGAGAAAGGTGAGGTGAAAATAGTTTAAATAAATAGCTAAATAAATGTCTGATCATTTGTCTGATTGCACAACCAAGATGTAGTCCTTGTCATCAGAGCAAGCTAGAATCAGATTTCTGTGATGAAACTGGCTTTTTTTCTTACATATGAAAAGTACTTTTCTCAAGTAAGAGAATAACAAGGGTTCCTGAAAGAACTATTTTTGAAGACCTAATTGTGGTGTAATGTCTATGCATGCCACATATTGTTTCTGGTTTTCTTTTAGTTTGCAGCCATGAGAGGATGCTAGAGGCTGTAATAGTAATTATTTGCTCTTTATAAACAGTACTGTCTGGAATTAGATTGCAAACAAGGAATAATTACAATTAAAATGGAAAGCCAACACTCGTAAAGTCCCACATAAATGTCTTGAAGCTGAGCTGTGGTGGACCCAGTAAAGGTTTCCTGATTTTCCTCATTTACTGGGGGTTGGAAAGTGGTCATCACAGACTTTGATTTTGGATGATGCAGCTCTAAAAAACGATGTGGTTCCGGGATCTCTAATGAAGAAGCTATTCCTTTCCCTGCACTTCTTTACCCATTTATTTTATTTTGCGTGATCAACTATAAGAAGCTAGACTTTCTGTGTCTCACAATATGACCAAGTATTTTGGTGTTCTAAGTTTTAAGTATTTTATGATTTGTTGGTCTTCATTCATTTAGACACATCCTGCAACAGAACTTACAACTTACAGACTATATGGGTGAAAGCTGCCCACTAACTATCTAACCATCTATCTAATCGTCCGTCCGTCCGTCCGTCCGTCTGTCCGTCCGACTAACTAACTAACTAACTAACTAACTAACTAACTAACTAACTAACTCTTCCCAATGCAATTTGAGCTTTAAAACTCAAAACCAGCACTTTGTATTGGGACCAGAGGTTTTCACGCACTTTCCTAGTAATCAAAATGGTCAGACATTCTGGCCTCACCAACATCAAAATGGCTGCATTTTGTACCAGCCAATTTTCCGGGGGATTTCCTAAGTAAAGCATATTGAAGTACTCCATTCTGAGATTACTGGTGCAAAGACTAGGACCAAAAGGATCTGGTAAGGCCACGGCATACAAGCTGGAGCTTCTTAAAAGCTTTCATGTTGCCGTGAACACATCCGCATATCTTGAATATACTCTATCGTTCTGTTCCAGGAACCAGTCTTGAAAATCAAGGTATCCATATAGGCCATGGGCACACCAGTGAAACGTCCTTGTTTTCTTCAGTCTTTTACTCCCTGAGCAGTTGTGCATTGTTATCATGTGACATATATCCAGGGGTGTGCATTGTGCCGTGTTTTTGTATTACTGTAACATTGCCCTAAATTCCATGCAATATGACCAGCTGGCTACACTTCAGATCCAGAATATTTCCCTCTGGGTTGTTTCTTACCCTGGGGCCCCTTTTTCTTTTTCCTTTCCTTTTTTAAAAAAAAAAAAATCCATTGCACCAATGTAATTTCTTTGATGGACATGAGCATCTCTGCTGCGTTTGTGTCTCTTGTAGCAGAGAAACATAGTTGGGCTTTGTTCTCATGGCAGCTCTACCATGAGGTTCCCCAAGAAGAAAGCAGGGAAGAGCTCAGGGGAAGGAGCGCCACCTGGTGGAAGGATCTGCAAATAAGGGAAGTTCAGAGGGTGAAGACATAAGTTTTCCAATGCATCAATATTTTTTTATTTTTTTATTTTATTTCTATCCCGCCTATCTGGTCATACTAGACCACTCTAGGCGGCTTACAATT